GCTTTGGTACGACCGAACCAATTGAAAACTGCTTTCCAGCCGTCCTGCTTACTGTCTCCTCTGGTGACCTTTTGATCTTTGTCTACCTTTTATAATAGTTTGCCAGTTTTTAGGAGTCGGAGCCTCGTTTTTACATGCCAAGAAGCCAAAATCACCCCTGCAACCCGTACACCAAGCATTCATTGGCACAAACACATGCCAACCGGAATGTGCTATTATGCCTCAGGGGTGGGGGCTTATACTCCGGTGCAGCCGTGACCCTAGAAAATTCGACTTGTTTTATTCAAACTCGGCCCCGCATTTAAGTGAATAATAGCAAGAAGGTGCAAGAGAAGAGCTAGAGAGAAAAGGGAAACCAAGGACGAGTCCAGGTGGGAAAGGAAATGTAAGGATTAGAACATTGAAAGGATCGGTCATGCAATACGGTTAAAATTCCCATCGTGGATAGGATAATTATTCCCGTAGCTATGCAGAAGACGTTACTTCAGTAACGTCTGGCGCTAGCCAGGGTCCACACAGCTTTAATTTGGTGTTTGTTTGTTTGTTTGTTTGTTTGTTTGTGTCACGGCTGGAGCTATCCCGTATCTGTCCCGTATCTGTCCCGTATCTGTGACTACAAAGGCTCTACAGGATTGTACATAACAGCTGTCCACAATATTTGCGGGCTCCTGTATCTGTCCCGTACCGTACCAATATTCGTCGTATTATGTATACGACTCCCTGATGTAGAGGGAGATTTGGAAAGAAATAGGGAGACGAAGAGGAAATTAAATTAGAATAGACGCCGATTAGGTGATAGGATGCGTCAGCATAAACATACTTTGGAAGAGAGATCCCGTCGTCTCCAAAATAAGCGTGAACGAGCGATTCAGTGCCGGTCACAGGAAACGTCGGAAGAGAGATCCCGTCGACTCCAGAACGCCCGTGATCGGTAGAGTCCGGCGGTACCAGGCAACGTCAGGACAGACATCCCTTTGAGTCCAGAACGCCCGTGATCGGCAGAGTCTAAGCCGATCCCAGGAAACGTCAGGACAGACATCTCGTCGAGTCCAGAACGTCCGTGATCGGCAGAGTCAGCGCCGGTCCCAGTAAACGTCAGGACAGACATCCCGTCGACGCGCAGAAAAACTAAATCTGCAGCCTCTTTTGCCGTCGAACAGGATACGTTTTATATAGGAGACTGTAAATTTATGTAATGTCCAAATTTCGACGTGAGCAGCAGGTCACTCGCGTTGATTTTTCGACGTGCGAGCCAAATAACGCGAGCTGAACTTTCGCGTCGCAGACATCCCGTCGACGCGCAGAAAAACTAAATCTGCAGCCTCTTTTGCCGTCGGACAGGATACGTATTTTAGGAGACTGTAAAGTTATGTGATGTGCTCCACAGGCAACCATACATTCGGCGTCGTCATTGGCTCAACAGGTCAATGCACATGTATTACTACAAAAAGGCCAGAAAATCCGATCACTGTATTAAAATCAACTAATGTTCGCTGGCGATTTAATTTCGCTGATTTCGCCGCTTGGTACCAACCGGCCAAAGTAAATCGCAGGCCAACGTTTGTCATATACGCAAATGATGCATGATTGAGCAATGGATGCATGTGAGAGCAAAAATACCGATCGATTTCAAATTTGACGTGAAACTGCGCGTCACGTCGGAAATAACGTGCATCTTAACCTCTCTAATAGAGAGGTTTCTATTTCTCATCGGCCAAAATTTGTTGATTTACAATATAAGGAGATAAAAAGAAAAGAAGGAGCAAAACAAAAGTAGATGATTATTAGAGAAATAACAATCCGCAATAAATTCTGCAAATACTTTTGCCTAACTCATAAGCAAACCGATTGAAACGTTTTTGCAATACAGTGATGTGGCCAATCAACGAAAAAGACATTCCCATCAGTTCTTATAACATGTACGATGAGCTAGGCAAAAAAGCATAAAAGCATAGCGCAGGGCCCTGAGCTTCCAAGCTCTCTCGTTCAATTGACATCCCTATGCAAGAAGTAGGTCGTTATTATTAACAATGAAAAATAATATTTCACCAAGCATGCCTGCAAAAGACGCTGACCCTAGAAATGCAGTACATCAACTACATGTAGGTTGCTGTATAGAAATAGGGCCAGTATTTTGTGTGTGTGTGTGTGTGTGTGTGTGTGTGTGTGTGTGTGTGTGTGTGTGTGTGTGTGTGTGTGTGTGTGTGTGTGTGTGTGTGTGTGTGTGTGTGTGCGTGTGTGTGTGTACATGCACCAGGTCTCCACAGACAGTGGCTGAGCAGTCCTTGGCTACTACATGCACTGCAAGCCAAGCTGTCCTATTTCACCGACTTCAGCTGCTCCAAATCTTCCGCTGCACTTCTCCTTGTGTGTGACGATATTCCTCTGCAGTGGCAGAAGGTACAGAGAAACATAATAGATGATATGCCAAATAACGTGCAACTAGACTTGGGAGGGCATTGCAGAGTAGTTGCATACAAAGTTCAAAGTTGTACGGGTACCTGTGACTAGTATTCCTGGAGAGCTCAGGGCCTACCGTGTACACATTGTAGTATAATGTGTATGCAACTTGTGTGCGATGCCCTCTCAAGTCTAGTTGCACATTATTTGGCATATCATCTATTATATATGTTTGGCCAAATCCATCTACAAAAAGAATTCTGGCTTTTGAAAGGATACCAGGGAGCTTATGAATTTTCAAATGAGGACTTGACCTTTGTTCTGACTACTTGCTCGGCGACTAACTCCCAAATTCTAATAGCGTACGGGGGAGGGATACTGATTATAAAATAATTCTTCCAGTGAACAATCACCACAGACAAGGGAAGGCCCACCATCACTGCTGCGTTTCGGTGCAGCAGCGCCTGCTCATTAGTTGTCACGTTTGTCCTAGTCTCCGTTCCATTGTCTTCCATTTTTCTTGTCGAGCTGGGTATGTGAACATAGTACAAAATAATTCAAAAAAGTAAAATAAGGGAGTAAACAATGGGTAACCTCTCAGATCCGTGAAGACCTCCTCAAGGGCTGGTGAAAAGCTTTGGGCGCCTTGAACAAATACTAATACCCACTTTCATTACAGCCCCAGATCCGTTCAAGTCCTGCTTGTGCCATTTTCAGGCATTGTCCGCCTTCTAGCAAACCTCGATGGGGGGCATCACAAGTTTAGGGTTCACGGCTTGCCACTAAAAGCACCCAGCACGTGCGCCTCCATTTTGGATTATGGACGCGCGCTACAGGCCGCGACAGCGCCTATCGAAGTAAAAAAATATCGACTCGAAGTCTAGCCGGAGAGCGTACTTTTTGAATTTTTCCTTGGCTTCAGTGGCTTCACTTCACTCGGGCTTTGCATTTTTGCTTCGGTTTTTGTGACTGACCTGGACTTGGTGATGGTGATGGCGGTGGTGGCGGTCTTGGCGAAAGATCCAGTTCCATCTGAGACACTCTGTCGTCTTTTCTTATCTGCTGAGGTTCTGGCAAAGCGCAGCTGCATCGAACCTGACTAGATGTAGCTGCACGCATCCTTTGTTTGCCCTGCAAATCTCGATCTGTTGCTCTTCTTGCTGTTTGGCCGCTGATGCCAAGGAAGAAAATATTCTTCCTGTAAAAGAGGCCGAAACTGAGCAAGGGCACGTCAAGATATGTAGGGTATACAAAGAAAAAGAAATGTCATGGTCGTTTCAGCAGCTCACGACAGCCAACACGCTCCATCGTGTCGGGATTAGAAGTATCCAGCACGGCTGTTCCGAGCGCTGCTGCTCTTGTTATTCTCCTTCTTTAGAAATTCTGACACCTTGTCGGCCAAAGTACGCGCGCGCGTGCACGGAAAAGAGATGCGCTGAGCCGTTTCTTGTTCGATTTTGACAAATAATGGCTTGTTGTTTTGCTCTCGACCTTGGCTATCCTTCTACCGTTCAATATTTTACGGAAACGCAACGGCTCCCCCTGTTTTTTTAGCCGAACTTTGGCCAAAGTTACTGGAAAACCCGGAACTCGTTTGAAAAAATACGAACGGTGGAAGTCTTGGAACGTCTTTCGTGCGTGTGGATTCAAAAATTCAGGCAGTTTGAGCCAACCGTAATGAATCCCGTAGAGTTGAAAGTGAGTGATATTGATGGGAAAATGCGATTTGAGCACTGACTGATTGTGTGGTACAGTATATGCACGCGCCTGTCACGTGCATGATGTAGCTGGCGACGCTAGCATGCCAATCCGTGAACCCTAAAGTTGTCCATGATTTTCACAGGGCCACAGAACATCTGCTATTCAATACTCATGCTGTTGTTTAGAGATGTAGCATCATCGTGTGTTTATCTGCTTCCCAGTGTCTCAGCTCCAGCATGCACACCGCCTGCGCAGCGGCTGTGCTCAAACACTTTACTTGTGCTGCTGCTGTGCCAAACAACGCTGTCAATAATACGCTCCTCGGGGACAGCAGTAACGCTGTCAATACTAGTGATGGTGCTGTTGTGCCTGAACCTCGACCTGAAGATGCTTGCAACGCCGATATGCACTGGTTCTTGCGTTTCTTTGGCGACGATAAGGTGAGGTTCGGTTGTGTGTGTGTGCGTGTGTGTGTGTGTACGTGGAAAATGAAAAATAGGGATTCACTGGCCAGAAAAAGTCACTTCAAACAGCTGTGTGGTGGATACCAGGCTAAAAATAGTGGCGGTCAATTCATCAGCCTTGCAAGCTGTTGAATGGTGTAATCCCAGCACAAGTTGCTATGTCTAACATAGCTGTTCGCTATGATCGCTTCCGCGATGGGCATGTCTGAGGTCTGAGGTGTGTGTACGTGTGTAGGTGTGTACATGCATGTGTGTGGGGTGTAGGTTTGTTAGAAATACCAGATCGTTACCCCTTATGGGTTTCAAAGCACAGTATGCCTGAAGTGAAGTATTCTTGACCGCTAGGGGAAAGGTGCTGAACGATTATGTCACAAGTTGCACTCAAAAGGCGTATTTTCTCCTTTACCTGAACTGAACAGCAGCTACCCCAGGCACCACTGCAGTCAGAGGGCTGTGACGACAATATGGATCAGCCAGGGTATGCGGATGGTCCTGATGCTGCCGGGAAATCCCCTCCAGATGTGAACCACCCATCCGGCAATGCGACTGACGCAATCACAAAACATCCTGCAGCCGAGTTGACGCGGCGGGCTGTAGAGTTCAACAGTGTTGATCAACTGCACACTAACATTCTGTATCCTCCTTTCTGCTGCTTACAATCAAGCATTGGTGTACGTGTTTTGACCATACGTTGGGCAGTTACCACCCAGTCACCGTTCACTCCTGTTGCTTGCATGCTGAGAAACATGATTTAATTGGGCATTTATGTGGGCTACCATAGTAGCTGGCAGGAAAACAGATTTTGAGCCAAAGAAGACCAAATTGAGTGGTTACAGAGGGTCTGAATCTCCCCTTCTTTCTTCTAAATGACTGTAGTGTAATGAAATAATTACGTTGACTATTCTTTTAACCAATTCCTCCTGGGAAGATCAAAATTAATATCATTGGGATGCTGTGCAGGTAGACCGGCATCAGATGGGTTAACACAGTTAGCATCGCAATCTATTACATATCTGACTTGCAATTGTCCTTGACTGCTAACTGACTCCGTCATCAGACATGTCGCCGGCGTCCCCGTTGTGCTGTTGTTTCCGCCGCTGCCCAGGCCAATTGTATGCTGAACCCAGCGACGTGTGTACGAATTGACAAGAGGTTTGGTGGTGATGGTGGTGGCGGCGGTGGGGGTGGGGGTGTCAGTTTAAGTATTCCATGCTGTTCTATACTCGTCTTTATGCTAGCCTACAACATTAAATGCTGCCACCTGTTTAAAACTGTTTAGTACTTGGTAGATGTCAAACCTAAATGCAATTCCATTGAATCTCCCCCCCCCCCCCCCCCTCTCTATCTCTGTAGCACTTTCTTCCTTCCTTTTACTTCTGAAGTCATTTTTTAATTTCATGAGCGCATGCTTGGAATGTCACTCCCTCTGTTGTGTTCTTACCATATTCTCAATACTGACCGCGAAGTAATGTTTTTGCACCCCCCCCCCCCCCCCCCCCATGTATTCAACAAAGAAATCGCTGGAGCTACATATACAGCACAGGCATTCTGCCAGTATGCCGGCAACTATATTCTGCAACATCTCATTCCATCCAGTTGTCACTTGCTTTCTATTCACCAGTCCACCCTACAACCAAAGAGGAGAAAGGCCAAGATTAGACCAGTGGTGTCAAGTTGAAAGGCACCGATCTTTTTTCCCTGTCCTGCGAGACATGATCTAGCCCAGATTACAGCTCAATTGGTTTCACAAAACCGCACCTGCACCTCCACGCGCACGCCTCTTCTTCGTGCAGGATCTAGGACCAGTTTGTCTGCCCTCGAACCCAGTCATCTATCCGCCTTTTGCATGAGATTGGTATGGCATGATTCTATCACTTCTATTCTGGTTTATAACGCCTAGTAGATCTACAGTGCTGGCAAATGAAATCCGACCCCCTCACATCGCAAAGACCCAACACGGCATTGTAAAACTACGAAATAGAGACCACTAGAATGTTAACGAATCCCTCAGGGGTCGGATTTCAGTTTCCACCGGTACACAATGTACCAGGGATCCCTACACTTACCAAGGTACAGCAGTCAGTACTGCACGTCGTGTGTGTAGCCTACTGACGTGTAGGGGATCCCTGACTACCCTGACTGCCTAGCCTAGCCTGTCTAGCACCAGCGGGGAATAGCGAAATACTGAAGAATCACGAAAGTGCACAACGATTGAGTTAGGAACGGTCTTCCTTATCTTCTATGGGAATGTGAAGTACAGTGCAAGGTCTAGAATGACGTACGTGATTACCAGTTACATGTACTTCGTTCGCTGTGGTTTGCGTAACTCGAGATAGTTGGTTTGATGTATTTGACTTCGCAAATCTAGCGATGACTGCAATGCATCTCTACCGGGTTATCTAGTAAAAATTGACATACATGTATTGTAATTATGTCATTGAGAAAATTGTAGGTATCCTCCAATACTGTGAATACAGTGGTGCTCGGTACCCTGCAATACAGGAAACGACCAATGACATCTAAGAGGACTGAGAAAATCTGATTGCAGTTGGTCGCTTTCTGACGTCCCAAGCACTGGCAATTTAGGGCATGATCTTGCATAACAATAATGCATCAGCAACTGCTACTCTTGCATGTTTTGTACTTCAGTTGGTGGTTCAGCAACTAACGTGTGGTTACGTTATAATATTATTGCTGGAAAACCGGAAAGTCTAACGACCAAAAGGTTTTTAAAACGTTTTTGTAATTTTGGCATGATAACGTGCAGAAAGTTTAACGAAGGCTACCTGGCCACCCATCTGTATGCGCATCTTTACACAGACATCTAGCGATAACGTATTTTTCAAATAACGAAAAAGAATTGGTCGTTAAAACGTTAGACTTGGTGACTCGTTAGACTTTCCAGTTTTACACTATACCCTGCACTGCATTGGAGAACAGACAGTAGATCTACTGTTAGCGTGCTGTTCGCCTTGGCTTGCATTACAGAACTGATTATAATGATCTAGAAATAGAGCACGTGAGAAAAGCAGGTATCACGCCGCAGTAGTGCTGGCAGTAATAGTAGGACAAGACGCCCCTACAAGGAACAGCGCGCCTGTAATTCAAGTATACGGTCATTTTTGCCTGCGCCTGCATGTACAACTGCATCGCACAGGCAAAATCCACGGTAATTGCCTGTTCAGAATAACGCTAATTGATCAGGGCTATAAAAGGCCCCAGACCTCTTCCGTGCTTAGGTCCGCCATATCCTGATCGTCTTCCTGTTGCCAATCCTGCAAAGATTGCACGGAATATGTAGCCAGCGGCGGGTACCGGACGTATTCGCTTCGACGCGATCACAATTTCGCCCAATGGAATGCGTCTTGTTCTGGCAAGCGAGCAAAACAGGCGAAGGAGCGCTGTGTCGAGAAGAATTACCGTGCTTATGTTCATTGTATACGCTACGGTCGGCCGGCATCGTAGGGAAACTGGCACACGAAACTGGCTTCGGCTTGACACCCTTCACGAAGTACCACTGTCGGATGCATTATTTTTTATGGTCGTAGTTTCCTTGGCTTCAGCCGTCCGCGATGCCAACGGCTGACCAAGAATTCGTTTTCACCTGCACGCATGCAACTACTGAAGCGGAACGTGGCGATATGGGAAGTCGTCGGCGAGAACTGGAAGCTAACGCAGCACCGACGACATGTTGTGATCGTAGGATTTCTTTAGATCGAATATCAATCACCATGCACGCACCTTTGAAGGAAGGAAAAATCAGTGTCTTGTTGTCTACCGTGCGCTGGAACACTTCTTTGCATGAGTCCTACCGACACCGCGTGACCCCGTCCACGCTCAGTTCACACTTTGTATTCGACGTCACACCTGGGTCCAAAGTGCACAATGACTCCGCGTACATTGACTGTGATCATGGTGAGTCACAATAATGCGTGCACCCGCGCCGCTGGTTCGTGTCGGCCTGTGTGAACGCGGTGCCAGGTACGTATGCCACGGCCGCAGAAAATAATAATTCACAGAGTCACACCCTTGCTCTGGTATGCCATGCGTGACCAGTAGCACCAGCTGTCACTTCCTTCACTTATGATGAAGCCTATCTCGTCCCTGAGTGGCCCTGGAGCGTTTCCAGGGGTCCATTTGAGCTGTGCATGCCAAAGATGGAATTTTGCCCTGGAGCATAATTATAACAGTTTACAATCATTTCAAATACACATTACTGTGTAAGTGTGGCTAAACTTCATTCTTGTCGTTGGTGCGTTTTTAAAGTTATATTATTTTTAGATCGCAAATCAAACTTACATAAAGTATCCAATGTTATGAGAATGATCAAGAGAGTCCACTAGCCACAGAGCATTGTGGTGTAGGAGATGCATGCAAGTGTAAGAACAAATTTCCCATTATACTACAAGTAGAAACCTTTGAAGCACTGTCTACTATCCATCTGTCACAGATGCTACCCAGCTTGGCACACATGTATGCTAACTAACTTGCTCGTCCCTGCTTTTTTTGGAGGATACCAGGAAATCATTGTGGGTTCAGCTACAGTAGAGTCGCGCTGAAGAGCGTGGAGCCCAAGAACGTCCCGCCTGAAATCCTAAGAACGCCACAGCCTAAAGCTAAGCACGGCGGTGTTCGTTTTCTGGCAGCTTGTGGGATACATATTGATCCAGTGCAGATTGTTTCTAAGAACGTGCTATAAGAACGTAGCCAGATTGCTGACAAAATAAGAACATCCCAGGCTAACCCCTTGGAAGCAACGTTCTTGGGCGCGCGACTCCACTGTACCCATCCGTAGGATCTAGGATCACAAAAAACATGTTATCCCGAGCTTGCCTTGTTGCTCGCTCCTGTTGATCTCATAATGTGTCTCGTACTTCGACGTTCAATGGAATGAGTGAACTCATCTAGAGACCATCCATGATACGATCATTCCCTGTACTCGTTTGCCTATTTCTACGATGGTCCGGCAAAGAAAAGTAGATGATTCGAGGTCATCTATTTGTAGCAAGTGTCATTATCGCATGTAAAAGGGAGAGGGGCGTTTGGATTCTCTACGGTTCAAGTAGGACGATCAGCGCGGATTGTCTGACTGACTGAAAAAATGATGTCATTCACACACACACACACACACACACACACACACACACACACACACACGCACGCACACACACGGACACGCCATTCAGTCCTGTGTTCAGCGACCACGCTGCCATAAGAGACCACCTTCAATTACCGACCGACCTTCTCAGGGCCTATGCCGTACCTCAACGGACATTCTGGCCTGTGGAGAACGACCACTTGTTGGGAAAGACCAGATTTCTGCACACTACGGCATGGCATGGTCGTTAAACACAGGTCGGACTTTACTGAATGTTACCAGCAGTCAAGGAGTCGACCGGACTGAATCTCATTCCTTCCTGCCCGTTTCACGGTAGATACAATGTAAACAGACAATTTGCCGCTCCAAAATAGGTCACTTGATACTGTGACTGTGCAAGAAATAGAGCCAGGCCTGCACATTGCCTTCCGTGCGACATGTAGATCGTTCACTGCGGGGAAACTACTGGCGGATAAGAACGCACGTACCCCTGTGCAACCGCGTCACCTTTGCGCACTGAAAACTTGTTGACATTGGCAGGCTGGTAATGCAGGAAACGAGGTACACGACAAGTAGTTCTTGACCAGAGATGCCCATCGCTTGCCAGCAGCAGAGAGGACTACAGCGCAGTGATGGTGTTAATCCAGGATCGCTTTGAGAGCGCTCTGCCGATAGCAGCAACAATGCACGACAAACCTTACTTCACAACATGGCCTTCAGTGGTTGGACTGTGTCATGACCGGTCGTGCGGCCTGACCAGTACACTGTACAGTATGACTTGTATAATATACTTTCCTCCCGAACTCTATGATGTTCAATTGCTGTCAAACCTCCCCATGGTCACAAACTGGCAGTTCGTCTCTACTCCACGAAAACTGCGCCAGCACACGCATGGCAAGTAGTTACGGTGGCAATCAGGAAAGAAGAGGGAGAATACAACGATGCATAGACTCGCATTGCCGAACCCATGTGAAGCGAGGCAACAAGGAGCTGCCAGAAATTGGTGGCGGTCATTCCAGCATCGATCAGAACGCGATCGGGGGGCATGAAACTGAACAACAAACAGGATTACCTGTCGAGCGCATCATTCGTTTTCTCGATGCTCATCCTTGATGATCATGTACGACTCATCAAAGAAACCTCATCGCTTCGTGATCAAGTCCATTTTATGTGGAATTGATATGGGAATCGGCCACGTGTTTACATGTACATACATTCCGAGATACTTGGTGACGATATGGGATAAGTGTGCTACACACTGCCGGTATTTCCGTGAGGCTCACGAGGGTCCGCATCTTGTAGTAGTAAGGCAAGATTCTAGTGCCAGGGTATGCAGCAGCGTCAACTGAAAATTTCTTCAACTAACTTTGACTTTGAAGTATTTTAACCGTCTATTGTCAACCACCACACCACAGCGTTGAGCTCTCCCGCCGACCTCAACACGTTGCCCACAGTACACCATCAGCAAAACCACACTTCAGTTGGTACTCTGCTCCTTCAGACAGCAGCTGCTTCGATCACCAGGATCCCGTCAGTGAAGGTGATAATGTAAAGTGGCTCACAGATAGTGAACTTCACCCTTTTGTAGCAAGAAAGGGAAACATAATGGCGCATCTCAGGCGCGAAGATGACGGCTAAGCAAAGAGATCATGTCACAGACTACACTGAGGATAATAGAGCGTGTTAGTGAGAGTACGGGTGTGACTTCGATAATTATAATTATTATGGCACAGCATAGCAAGTAGCAACGCGAGATGCCCCTGGGGCATTCACTCCTTACACCCACCCACCACACAGTACAGCACCTCACCAGCCATTCTTTATTTTCCATGATAATGCCGTGGCTTAGCAAGAAAGTGACAACCCCTCTTGATTATTTTTATTCTGAATAGAAAAACATTGTGTTCGTCAGTACAGCAGCAGCATTTCGCTTCTGCTCCGCGCGTTGGCCACCTACTAATGCTTTAGTATACCTAGTCTGTAGGATGAGCATAAAAATCCTCCAGTGCAGCTTTCAAGGATGCACAGAATGCCCATACAGCCCTCAAGACATAGGGACGCGGTTATTACCGTATACCGTAAAACGCTAGCAATCTCTGCAATCCTTTTCTTCATATATCTATTTCCTTAGCCTATCCTCGATTAACTGCTCCCTCTACATAAAGTTGTCATTTCATTCTTCTTGCAGGAGATCCCCTCGACAGGCCCACAGCCTTTGGGAAATCCATAATTATAATAAAATACAAATACAAAATTTGGGGAGTTTGACGTGATAGCACCAAACGTCTCATCGATCAGCAAGAACATTTCACCGCTCAGTCGGGAAGCTTCTTAGTTGTCGCCAGCATCCTTCGTCTCCAACCTATGCCCTCATACAGCCATCAACTCAGCTTGGAAGGAGACTGCGTGCGGAAATCGCTTGTCTTTGTCGCTGGTCACAGACACCATGTTTCAGGCTGACACGCTCGGCGACATTTCCCGTTGACAGAGTGCTTGCACACATCAGTCTTGGTCGCCTGTATGCTAGTAGACCTACATGTACCCCACGAAACCAAGAACACAGGTGTCCTAGTCCCTGATCCCGCTGTTCTGTCCTGCTGTCAACGAAAGAACACTATTGTTCAGGAAATCATTGCCTCAGGCCTAACGATTTTCTCTCCAGTGTTCCCACACATAATCAAGTCTGTATTTTAGAATTCTGCTCGCATTTTACTTTGGATCCTTTCGTATTACTGAAGGGGTGTCTAAAAACAGTATTCACCCCTAATTGCAATGGCCAATCTTCCTAAGAATATGCCATACATTTGTTCAGTGGAGATGATTCTTATAAGCAGCTTACCGCACCTGAACACATCTCCAGACCCAAGCACTCCACCGCACACTCTTAGCTGCACCGAATAAGATCTATCTTTCCACACTAGTCTACCTTGATTTCGCACACTTCACCGCAGTAATTTACGCACCAATTCGGTCATTCGGTACTGCTACCGGGTCTTCTTGTCGGGAAGAATAATTTTCTCCCTTACCATCACGTTTTCGGACATGGACTACCCTGGAGAGCAGGGTGAACAATCAAACGATACCACATTACACGTACATGTTCGTGTCGTACAACTTCACTACAAGTACAAGCCCAGCACAGATATTTGCGACAAACGTCGGGTCGGTAGAACACGCTCACCCGCACACAATTTCAACAATTCTAGAAACTCACACACTCTTCTATTCGGCTATGCAGACCTCATACCGGACCGGTCACCGGCTTCAAACAATTTTCTCCTCACCGATATAAGGCGATAACCTACGCTTTATGGCGTAACATCGTAACGAACACATGGAATGTATTGCTATATGCCGGCACTCCATGGCAACCGTACCATGGGAAGGTAGTCTTGGGAGAATTTCACTTGCCGCAACTGTCAATGTACATGATGATGATTGCATACTGTACCCGGATGAACTCGGTCCAGAATGGTAGATGCACGGTCGACTATCCTATAGCCAATCACGCACTGATTTTGAGGTCCACTTGCGTCATAGCAAGGGCACATAAAGTCTCTGAGTGAGATAGAATGATCGTGCTGAAATCTAGCTGCTATAAGCCGTGGCGTGATATGGAAAACCATGCACTGCCATTTGCGGACAGGGTCAGCCCACGAGCTAGAATTGCCGCATGCATGAGGTACATGCATCATTGGGTGAAATACAATCATACATGACCATGTGATAAACTGACAGTCGACCTCATGAATTTAAAGTAGAGTCGCGTTCGAGCGCACGCACATGCAGAACAGTTTTCGTGGTGTCAGGGCCGCGTATCGGCCGACGCTATTGTAGTCATAGCGTCTACATTCACTTGGCCAAACTCTTACTTATGGTTCGCCCTGGCCTGCATAATAGATGTCTGAACGGCGCTTGACTACACACAAAGCACAGTTCAGTACAGCGGAGTCATCCTCTATTAATAATGCACAAGTAATGTAGGAGTTGAAACTCGGGCCTTCTGCCAAACGCGCGCGCGGGAATAAGGAGGGGGGGGGGGGGGGGGAGTGGGTAGATGCTCGCAGGGATAGCATACCTTCCAAGTACACCCCAGCTGAGCGCCAGAATTGTGCATATTGATGATTGTATAGTCGAGTCTGCTACTGCTACTACCACTGGAGACAGTGTCGCTTGTAGTCTGCGCTACATAAATTCAAACATGAATTTAAACATGATTGTAATCGTGTACAATAATACTGCCCAGCCTACTAGTACATCTGGGCTCGCTGGACCAGGCCGTTCGCACTGTATTGGCGGTGGTTCAGAAGAATTGCTTATACATTGTACATTGCTCCTGAATCGACTTACATGTAGGTGGTGTGGCAACACACTGCGTATGCACTGGGCGTATAGAATACTGTTCAGACCTGATCGGCTGAGCACTGCGCTGACAGAGGAACGTGGGTACAAGATAGGCTAGAAGGAGCAGTGGCATGGGCACATGGGGATGTGTGTGTGTGTGTGTGTGTGTGTGTGCGTGCTGCATTGCGGAAGAAGCACCACTGCAACGCGGGGATCCATTTTCCGTCTAGTCGCTCCCTCAATTGCTGTGTTTACCGGGTGTGTGACTACGTAGACGGCGATGCTGTGATGTGGATAGACCCCGTCTGCAGACCTGCACCATTCTCAGGCTACATGGTCTTGTTGTTCGCAGCGTCCACCAAGGACAAGCCACGGTTGGACCTCTAAAAACCGAACTGTTCTTGGATTGAAAGCTTGTGTTGGGGACGAGCCCACGTAGTGTAGGTTTTCTCTGTAGATCCGTGACCCGTCTCGAGCTTGCCTGAACCCTCTGCTGCTTCTGTTACTGTCAAGTGCCATCAGAAAAGTGGAAGAACTACTCTGGGATCCCATCAGTTTGCAGCTGAGTGGAGAGAACGCAGCAAATGGTTGCTGACAACTGTCAACTCCAGAACGCTATGTAGATGTCCTGATGTTGCCTGACCTGTCAGCGGCGCTTTCACTTTTGACCTCTAATCTCGCGTGCACACCTTGCTCAGTGAGTGATATCTTCCCAACGTTATAGCTGATGGCGCGAAGGCTGCATGTATATGGAGTCAACGGGAGATGATCTCCCGCTGCACACTAGAGACTGTGCAGGCTGATCTATACTGCTAGTGCAGTGGCCAGACTGGGAAAAGAGAACCTCTTCCCCTAAGCTAACGCGCTCAGAATACATCTTCGGCGGGCTAAAGCTTTGCCTTGCTTCCCTTCGGCGGGGAGAAAAGACGTAGTATTTACGTTGCGTGACGTGAAGGAGAGCGGACAGTGCATCTGCGATGGAGATGGAACAGAGAGGAGCGGAGTTCGTCGGAAGACCAACGGGAGTGCGTATGGCGAAGGAGCGGGAACGAACCCGTCTACGGAAAGCCGATAGCGGTGCGCGGAGGTGTGGAACAAATGCGACTGCATGCCAAGAGAGATGGCACTGGAGCTGTGGTAGTGCTGGTGGTGGTGGTGGTGGACGTTGTGGTCGTCGTGTGGACACGCTTGTTCTTGTTCTAGTGGTTGCAAGCGTCAGCGTGGCACTTGCGGGTGCAGTGGACCATCCAACGCACAAACGGCACCATGTCAGCATCAGAAGTAGTCTGAGCTATGCTAACAGTAGAAGTAAAGACAGTGAAGCTGGTGAGGATGGCGTTCTCCACACGAGGGTCCTGGAGGATGTTGCCCACACGAGGCACAGGAGGGTTCTGAAGGACGCCCCGCTACATTGGGATGTGTATCGCTTCGACATCGCGGACGACACGACCCTTCCGAGGGCACAGTGCGAGGCTGGCTGCATGACCAGGACGGTGAGTGAGTGTGTGTTTATGTTTGTGAGGATTAATTTTGTTACACGTACATCGTGGTCACGTTAACATGCATCATGACCCTATTTTCATTTGAACATGGGGCGGGATCGCATGGGGCGTAATCACGGGACTTCATTGCCTTTTCGCTGTGCTACATTACAAACAGGACGCGCTCCCAAACGGATTGTGGCGAGAAAAGACCATTTTGTCAGAGGCATGTTAACCTGCTGACATGAGAGGCATGGCACATGCGATCACCGCAGGAACACAGAGGTCACCACATCCACTGCAGCGCGTTGACGCGTTGTCAGTGTAAGGATTGTAATCAGTTTATGCTACCACAACGCAAGGAGCTCGTGTACAGCTTTATTGTAGCTCTCTCCCAAAATTGAACTATCACATGCATACGTAAACTCCGAAGGTTAGGTTGGGAAATATCGAGTGGGACTGTCCCTAGCCTCTAGAACTCAAAGTTCAAAGACAACGCGAAACATTATAGTTACAGGCAAAAGCGATCGGGATGACACAGAGTGAAATGCCGATCAGTCAATCGCCTATCCCGGCGCATTGCTAGTGCCGGGAAAGGGAATTCTCGATTCGTAATGTCCTCTGCTACACGTGGTTACGTGCATGGATGATTTCAGGCTGAGCACTTATGTTAAACACAGTTAGGTGAGATTTAACGGCCCTGGGACAATGCGATGTTCCTTCGATATGCTTCTTCTGCATGTCTCCTGCTATTCTTCCCCTCTCTGTCCGTCTTCTCTCTAACCCTGGCGCTCTCTCGCGCTGTGTCTGTCTGTCTCTTTCCACTATTTCTCTCTCTCTCTCATTATCCCACGATATGTAAGCACGGAGATAGCATATGGGTCGGGTGCATGTCATGGAGCCTTGGAGGGTTCGTGAAAAGGTCAATCGTTCACCAGTCATGCTCGTGTCATTCGTGTAGCTGTAAGCACGATGTGCAAGTCAAAATAATTACGGCCAGTGCATACACATGTATCCAGTGGTGAACACGAGCCTTGGCATCCGCCACACGAGCATGACGAGTGGATTGGCCCGACCTGTCGCGCGGTCACGCGACAGTGCAGTGCTCCTCTTGATGACGTCATGTCGTGAGCATTTCCCTCTTCGAGGCGATGCCGAGGGCGACACATCTTGCTGTTCGTAGCTCCAGTCCGTTTTCTTCTCCAGCCTTCGCCAGTGTATGCGTGTTTCCCCCAAGACGTGGTTTCCTGTGTGCTAGTCAATCGCGCCATTACCAGGCCATGGGAAGCTCTTATCCATTGGCTGTCTAAATCAACTGTGAACCGTATCGCTCAAAGGCGACACAGCCACGTGCGCAGGAATGATAGGGGTGTATTGTTTTCTCTACAAAATCCAAGTATCTCCAGACACGGCTGGTATGGGGGATTAGAGGTTTAGATTCGCTCTAATTGTGACTGCTTATGATCTGCGTGGCCAGGGGGTGTTCATTCAGACTGTATTTGAAGGATTCTCAAAGGGTAAATGGATACGTATTCCCGTGGCTTTGCAAAAAAGACGTTACTTTAGTAACGTCTGGCGCTAGCCAGGGTCCACAGCGCTATATTCAAGGGAGTTTCCTGTAATGGTGGATGGGATGAAAGGGAATTGAAAAAGGACAAGGGAAAAGGCTTAGCAGAAACAATGCTCAATTATATCTCTGGAGGTAAAGCGCCAGTCTTGTGTGTCGCGTCAAGAAATGGATTCTGTTGACCTGAGTCCTTCCTACTCCTTATCATTGAGTTGATCTGCTTCATCCCAGCAGTAGGATCAGTACAAAACATTTTTTACGTTGGTCGACTTCTGCTGTTGATAATAGCGCTCGACACCTGGCGGTAGGTAGAGCTTACGTTATCTAACACAGAAGTCAGGCTCGTCGGTTGTAAATCACAGTTTCACGCGGAGCAATCCTCAGGGAACCCTTTTCCTGATCATCACCAGGCCATGCAACTCTCAGTTACAACCGACGATGCGCACATCTGACATGACACCCATGTAGATGTGGTGCTGATGTTCGCTATTCTTTCCTGGTGCAATTATAGTACGAACAGAGAATACGAAGTCCAGTCTCAGGATTCAGGCACGCTTTTTCAGCGTGGAGGTTAACCCTTTGGAGCCTGCACAGTCAAATATCGACGGTATACCGCCGATGGAATAAAACGTTCATAACTCACTCGAAACTTCAAAATCCTACCTTCTACTTGTACATGAATTTCCCCTCTGTGTTTCGCGGGTGTGCCCCATTGCATTTAACCCGACGTTACTGACTCTGCAGCAGTATGGGACCAGAAACAGTGCGTGGTCTTTATGCCGATCGATCTGAGCGGGAACGCTGAGCGTGACTCGGCCATATCGGCACTACACGAACGCCAGATAGCTGGGCTGTCACGCATCTCGCCACACCAGCCAAACACGGCGTTCCTTTTAGAGCATAGCATAAACTATTGTGCCCCTTATAACTTCTGTGATAGTTTGTAGGGTTGCCCTCGCGGTACCTGCAAAGACTTAGATGTGGAGCGCGCGAAGGCTGAGCCGGGAGAATAGTTGTCAATGGCAAAGTTCCTGAACACGCTGAACATGAAGCCATTCTGTGCATGACAGATTTAGGGCGGCGTTTAAGGCGCGACGGGAAAACACGAGTGGATGTGAGCATTGTGTACACATGTAGGAGTCACATGTCGATCCTGCCCTTAGTGACACGATGGCCAAAGTTCAGTGGACGCAACGTTACTTCCGTGCCATATCCAAACACGACTGGATGATGAGGAGCATGAAGGTCGTACTCTAGAGCCAGTGCTGACTGTTGACGCACTGAGCAAATCACTGTCATTATCCAGAACCTGCCACGCATCGGGAATAGGTGACACCCTCTACCCTATATACGGACAAGAAGGAAGTCGGCATCGCATGGCGGGTGAAATGCTGTGAAAAACTAGAAAAGCGAACGGCCGTACACCAGCTGATCACGTGACTTAGCATAGGGAAAACATGCGGCTACATGACCGTACATGTTCTATTTAGGAGCCGATATCGGAACAGGCGATCACTGCCGCCGTGCAGTTGCTGTTCTTGACCCAAATCCACTCTCTCTTGACGCGCGGGTCTGTGTTCTAACTCGCGGCAGTAGTAATTACTGAGAACACAATCGTTAGTTCAGCAGGACAACAAACAAATTGCTACATGTTTCTGGGGGTAATTGGGGTACTGCCAAAAGCCGTGTGAAGCGGCGCTTCGGGACCACGGCCCCTTCACCCTGCACAAGATTCATCAATCTCATCATTCATCAATATTATTTTTGTTGTGAAACTGGACAGCTTAGAACCGTTCTTTGTACAGAGCTGTTTCTCATCTAACACGCTGTGATTCTGGACATGGACAGCCATGTTGGTTCAAACTCCAATCAAACCCTGCAGGCTGCACCTTTTGGTCACATGATGTTCGGCCCTCTTGATATTTGCACTTCGTACTGTTGAGGCAACGAACTGAAACAATAAAAACCAAACCAAAACCAAACCAAACTATGTCGGCCATGTTGGTTATGTTGGTTATGACATAACCAACATGTTGGTTATGTCATAACCAACATGTTGGTTATGTCATAACCAACATACATAACCAACATAACCAACATTGTTATGTTATGTTCAGTTTCTATAGAAATGCGGTCACATGATCAGGACATGAAGCCACACTTTTCTCTCCTCAGATCAGTACAATGTAACCTTTGAGATCAACATTATTCACTTGAAATAATTACTTCAAAATTTCGTAACCAATATGCTGGGCATGGGGTGATATATTCGAATTTACTAGTATCTTTGCGGTGTTATTTCCCGAGTCCCTTCGCATCTTCCGCGGACTCGTACTCAACCCATCGTAGCATGCGAATTGTAGCTTCATAGCAGATAGTGATTTCAAAGTCGTGCTCCTCAGGATATTGATGACGGCGTGGAGATGGTGTTGAAACTAGATCTGTCACGGATCGCATCCGTACGGCGTTGACACCAGGGGAAACCGTGGCGCGCCTGATGATTCTATCGCCTGTGTGGTCTCTGGCATACCTTATCGACTGACCCAGGCAGCTAGTGCACAGAGCGGAAAGGGTCGTCATGCCTGCCCGCGGTATGGCGGAAGACGTCGGGGTGCCTTTTACCGACGGGGACATGCAAGCATTGCAGAGGCTGAGAGCGGACATCAAACAGCATCATAAACGGGCATGTTAGACTGCCGTGATGTAGTGTGCTGGAGTGAGCGCGGCGTTTGGTGCGTAGTTTTGCTTCTCCACGGCGCGCGTTCCTGCATCCGCCATAATGTCGCTGATTTGTGTGGTCAGCTGTGACAATATTCCCCGTGACTTTATATCAGCCGGGATGTTTGGCCGGCAACGTACGCGGATGTGCGCTTGCGCGCGTCTGTGCATGTGCGCGCGCATGTGTGTGTATGGGTGTGTAGTGATGGGGAGGGAAGCGGCGGGGGAAGACAATCAGTATCCCCTAGCTTACCTGCCCGTCAAAATGAGTAAGAAGACGCTTGCATTGAATAGCAAAATCTAATCAGGAAACATTAGCAGGTACTACAGTACATCAATCAGGTATCTGAACTAGTTCTATACACGGGCTGGCTGCATCCTGCCCTCTGGTTTCATTACTATACCCAATGAAATTACGAGTTGGAGAAATACGGTCGACTCGATGCCAAACTGCAAAAAGTCTAATTAGGCTATTTCTGGTCGAATGCGCCGCTGTTATTCGCGTTGTGACGAGGTACCACAAAGGGAAAATCAGAAATGTGTATGTGTGTGTGTGTGTGTGTGTGGGCGTACAGAATGCAGCAGAATATTGGCTTCTCTTCCCGACCTTTCACACACACTAGTACATGGATAGACGGCCAGAGAAGTTCTGAAAGATAGCTCTTCTGTTGTTCCTACACGCAGCCAGGGGAATCGCTGCCCAATATGCATTGCAGTATCTCTATGG